ATGCTGCCCACATATTATTGTAGCCCAGTTTGTGCTGATTATGGTGCTACTAAACTTAGCCATTAAAATGTTTATTAGCAACTGAAAAAAGCTCAAATGTCAGGACATGTCAAAACTTCTCCTGGGCCCAAAACACCCTCGGACCCCAGAGGGTTAATGCTTCAAATCTGTTTTCAAGATATAGGGGTGGTAGAATACCAGTGTTTGCAAGCCTTGTCTTAGCCGTATCTGGGGTAGAGGATGCTACCACAGCAATACGCTGTTTTCCCGTCTCTGGAATGCAAGCTGCTGGCAGTGGGAGGCAAAGAGTCTTCTTTTTTTGTGGTATAATTCCAATCCAAATAAAGTTTTTAGTTTTAGTGTTTCTGCCAGAAACGTTTGAGCACTGTGCTGATCTGCTGGAGTTAGAATCTTAGAAAAATCTGAGAAAAGTACATAAACAGAGAGCAAAGCGCGGAGCAGTAAGCAAGAGCGTCCGAACAGTAGCAAAGTCGGAAGCTGAGTAAATTCATACTACAAAAACCGTGTGTGTGTGTGTCACAGTTTGCCTACTGTGTAGGAATGAGGAGCGCGGAGACAATGGAGATTAATACATGGAACAATCTTTATTATCCAAATAAAGACTTACACCGGCAGGAACACACACGTAGCACAGGGGAATCGATGTTTAACACTGGATGCAGGACACAGGAAAACACAGGGCTTAAATTTCCAGGAACTAAACAAGGAAATAAACGAGACACACCTGAAATCAATAAACATAATCAAACACGGGAGAAACTGGGTCATGGGGAGCAAAACACAAGACAGGAACACGGGGCAGTCCAAGGGCGTGACAGTGTGTGCGTGAATGTTTAATTGCACAGAGACACTGAGGAGTTGAGTAAATTAATCATAAATCCAGCATAGAGGGGTTCAGTGAATGTGGTGTTGAATGTGTGTAAGTGTGTGTGTGAGTGTGTGTGTGTGTCAGAGACGCTGTAGAAGGACAGAGTGCCGGCTGACATGTCCAGATAAACTCCTACTTTTTTAGATGAAGATGAAGGAGCAGGTATGTTCTTGGTTTTATTCTTGTGCCAAATGTTAAATCCATTGGCATTGCAGAAAAGACTCCAGGATTTGTCATCAAGCCCAAACATACTATTAGTGCCTTCTTTCCTACTGGTTCCTTTGTAGCTCACTGCAATACGGGCCCATACTTCCCATTGAGCCTCCCAGTAACAGCGTCCAGTCAGACTCTCTTTACTCAAAACCTGAGGAACACCTTCAAATCTGTCTGGATGATCAGGATACGGCTGAGGATCTTTCACATGTGTGACCTTTTTGTTCTCTTCAGACAGTATGAGTTCAGTGTTTACTGTGTTTGGATCCAGTGTGAGATCACAGAAATCTGAACGAAAAATTACAGCATTAAAAAAATCTATAAGACATTAGAACATTTAAAAGGTCTAAATGTGTGAGAGCAAAAACCTACATTTCTGCAGTCCCGGTTTGACCCTGCAAAGTCCTCCATAGTCTAAACTAAAAACAGACAAACAGTCACACATTAAGAAAACTGATTGGCTGATATGATATACAGTTTACTGTCTTTTAAAACGGAGATGCTCTGATTTTACACCACAAGATAAATGGTGAATTTTATGTTCTTGGCATAGTTTATCTGATTGGTCTCACTGCAAACATTTTGGGGTTGTTTCCCGGACAGGGATTAGAATAAGCTAGGACTAGACATTAGTTAAATTAGGACATTTAAGTAGTTTGTACAATCATGCATTACAAAAAAAACAAAAACGTGTGCATTTTGAGACAAAACAATGGCACTGATGTATTTTAAGATATGTCAGTGCAAGTTGTTTTCAGTTTAGACAGCTCTAACATTTATTTTATTCACACACACATACACACACAGGACAGTATGTCAGTGTTGAGTTCATACTTGAGTATCTTCAGCGCATAGTCTGGATCATTTTGATAAGAGCGCAGCTGAAGTGCTGAGTGTTCTGGGTGATTGTAGCTTAGGTCCAGCTCTCTCAGGTGTGACAGCTTTGAACTTAGAGCTGAAGCCAAATAACAGCACCCTTCATCTGTCACCATACAACCTGTTAACCTATAAAAAAAAGGAGACATTAATTCTAACATCATGATCCTGTTGAAGATTTTAAGTAATTGGTAAACCTGTTAAGTCTATAGTGCTCTTCACGTTTACACCCACACACCTCAGTATCTCTAGTTGACAGTTGTGACTCTTGAGAGCATCAGAGATCAGCTTCACTCCTGAATCCTGCAGATCATTGTTACTCACATCAAGCTCTCTCAGAGGAGAATTTGAGGATTGAAGAGCTGAAGACACAATTTTACAGGACTCAACCGTGAGATTACAGTCAGGAAGTCTGAAAGAGAATAAAAACAATTTTCAGAAAATCTTTCATTCACTTTCAGTCTATTCATTGTAATACATTAATTTAATACTCACAGAGCTCTTCTACAGTTGTTGACAGCTGGTATGAGTCTTCTTCTACCCTCCTGTGTTGTGTTGTATTTCTTCAGATCAAACTCATCCAGCGGCTCCTCTGACATCTGAAGCATGTAGGCTATTGCTGAACAGTGAGCAGCAGAGAGTTTCTTCTCTGAGTGTTTGTTTGATCTCACAAACTCCTCAATCTCTCTGTACAGAGTCTGATCATTCACTTCAAGAAGACACAAGAACAGATTGATGGACCTTTCAGCTGAGAGATCATCATGTTTAATTTTAGCTTTAATGTACAGTCTGATTGTGTTGATGGTTTGTGTGGTGTCCACCGTGTGTGTCAGTAGATCTTGTAAGAGTCTCTGATTGGACCCCAGTGAGATACCCAGCAGGAACCGCAGGAACAGATCCAGCTGTCCAGTTTTAATCAGAAGAGCTTTATCTACTGCACCTTTAAGCAAATTATACAATGGTTCAAAATCTTCAAGCGCTGTGAGAGTACTGCATGTACAGCAGTGAAACCAGTAAAATGCAGCGAGAAACTCCTGAACGCTCAGATGAATGAAGCTGTAGACTTTCCTCAGATGAATCACAGATTCCTCCCTAAAGATCTCAGTGCAAATCCCAGAATACAGTGAGGCGTCATTGACATCTATTCCGCTCTCAATCAGGTCCTCCTCGTAGAACATCACATTGCCCTTCATCAGCTGTTTGAAAGCCACTTCAGCAAGTTTCACAATCACTTCTCTGTTGGACTGCAGGAGATTCTCTGGATCGCTCTCTTCATACTTCTGGTTCCTCATGTTGATCTGAATCAGCAGGAAGTGGATGTGGATGAACAAATTCAGAGCTACAGGATTAGTTTCGAGTTGACAAAATCAAACCACTCCAATCCGGGTTTATTGGTACTATGATGCTGACCATCAACTTTCTTTGTCACCTCAGGCTTTGATCCTGAGTTTGTGGAGCACGTGCACATGAATGTGTAAAATCAGTGGCAAACAGCCAATCACATGCCTTGCAACACAGAGCAAGTGTGATTTACTTCACGCGACAGAGCCAGCGAGGTTCAAAAAATTTTTTTGTTAAAGGTTAAGAGATTAAAGATATAAGGAATTTGAATGCATTTACACTGAAGTACTTGTCCATGAAAGAGGACAAATAAAAGAAATGATCTTGCTCTAGTGCAGTCACAAGTTAAACTTCTGAAGTTATTTCCTCTTTTTTTTCTTTGTCCTTTGATTAATAGACATCACAGCAGCTGGTTATTAGTTTATTTTGGCTGTTATTTCTTTAAGAGCTGCCGCTGCTGAACGTGACGCGGATCTGACACGCGTCATATTTTCTCTCGATTCTCTTTACCTTTTCTGACCCACTTCAGGTCTTAAAGTCTCTATTAATGACAAGTTAAATTGGGTTTTTTAGATGAGTGAGACGGTGCTGGGCTGCTCTAGGACGGTTTTGAAAACCATTTCAGAAAAATGTTCTTAAATGTGACTCATATAAAATATATTACATGCATGCACAGTTTTAAGGCAGCTTTAATCGTCTTTTTGGTAACTTCATGACTTAACTGACCACGGCATTGCATGCACGTAGTTTATTTCACGCTTTGATATGAAAGGATACAGGCTACAGCGCGCGCCGGTGCCTTTGTGCGTGCAATTGAAGAGCACACGCTGCGAGCACTGTACCATTTCCGCGCTTGCTTGACTCGCGCCTGGCGCTGAAGTGAAGAGGAGTGCGCGTCTGAAACGTTTCCCGTTCTCAGTCGTTCTGCGACTGAATAAATGCACTTCTTGTCAAGAGAAAAAGTGACAGAAGCAGCAGTTGTGAGTGGGGTGGCCAACCCTAGCCCCGCCCCTGCGTTAAATTGCGTTAAATATTTTTTACGCGTTAAACTGAAAAAATTAATCGCTTGCATTAACGCGCTAATTTTGACACCACTAGTATATATTAATATTCATTTAAATAAATACTTTATAATAATTGTTAAACTAAAAGTGCTCGTGTGTAATGGATTAATATTAATATACTCATTTTATAATTTTATAAATCAAATGCAAATTGTAATTATCATTACAGCCAGAAAATTGTGTTGTAATTTTTTTTAAGTACTTTATAGTGACCTTTAATTTGTAGGAAGAGAAACTGGAGGGGGGGGACTTTTTTATTATTTATTTATTTATTTGCGTCAGACATGTGTCACTTTGCTCACATCTGATTGGTCCAACTTCAGTTTGAGATCTCTCACCCAGAACATAAGCTGCCCCGGAGCAGGTTAGCTGTGGAGTGTAAGTTCCTATGGCAATGAACGCCGCTAAAAGCCAAGCCACTTTCATGGTACCTAAAACCCAGGATTGGTGCAAACTAAACTGAATCTTACCTGGCTAGCCAGCTAATCCAGCTTCCTGGTACAGGCCCCTTGAGTCCCTCAAATAATCTCTCATACTTGTTCTTCATGCAGGTTTTGTGGTGGTCTTTGACTCTCTGTAGTTGATCATCTGGTTGGTGGGAATCCTGCTGCAGGACTCCAGTCTTATCATCTCTATCCACACAGCAGAAACAAGAGCAAGAACAGAATCAATGAATGAGTTTGAGCTGAGTCATTTGAGAGTCATTCTCTGAACCAGCTGAGACACAATAATCATCTTTAATACAGAACCAGAATATTTTAATGCAGAAATTATCTCAGACTGAAATGCTCTGAACTGAAGAAAACTGAAACCAGATTCACAAAAACCCTGTTAAAGGACACACAGCTGATGACATTGATGGGTGAAACTGGTTCATATTCAGGTGAGAGTGCTCTATGATGGAACAAATGCATTTGTGATGAGGCTCAAAATATAGTTAATAATGTGCCTTCAGTTATGATGTCCTTTGTTATAGGAGACATTGATGTCAAATATGGTTCATTCTGTGTTACTGACTGATGTTAAATAATGTCTAAACCTCATTTTACTGGAGCAGTTCAATCTGCTGTATGTTTGCACTCACACAGGGTCAGAGGTCACCGCTTCATCACTGATTTTGAAATACTCTCTTAGTCTTATCTCTCTTAGTTTAAATAGTCTCTTGTCTCCAGCACTGGTTATCATCTCACCTGGGGTTAAAGGTCACTGATCCAGTACTGAACGTAAGGGGTGGTTCTGGCATGGATCTCTCACTCCTCATAGACACACAGCTGGGCTCTGGAGATGTCTTGTTCTGATAGTGAACATCATCCTCTCTCTCCTCATTGAGACTCATTTTAGAGCCAGTGATCTTCTGTTTCCTTAAATATGTTCAGTTCTGCATTTGGACATACAATGACACACAACTTAACTGTCATCTTTAGACAAACTGAAAATAGAGCATTTCCTTCAGTATTAATAAAACATCTTGGTATAACTTTATAACAACTTTCATTTATAAATCATTAACAAACATATAATGCTTAATGGATCATTAGTTAATATATATTCACAAAGCTAGAAATATGAGATAATGTTCTTGTTAATGTCTATTAATGAACTTACTCAACATTACCTAATGATTAACATATGATTATTTAATATAAACTGAAATGCTTACAAATATCAGTAAACTTTCATTTAATATGATCTTCATTTGTTGGTCTTTGTTTGTTGTGTAGACCTCTATTCACACATTTTAACAAATAATCTATTAATTATTTGTTCATGTTTTTGCAGTAGCCAATCTAAAGTGGAAACTACTCATCATTTGCAAATGTTTATAAATGTTTACTAATCATTAATACCTTCATGAGCAGTCATCTCAATGGCAAAAAGTGTCCCGAAAGACCTGAGTTTACCCTATTCACACATCTTTACTAATCATTTATTAATCATTTGTTCATGTTTTTGCAGTACCCAATCTAAATTTGAAACTATTCATCATTTGTAAATGTTTATAAACGATTACTAATCATTTAGTATCTTTATGGGCATTGGGCTTTTAGGTAATGTAACAAGGTTTGTGTAAAGGGTGGCTGGTTAAGTTTAGCTAAATGCCTGCTAAAGACACAACAGATTGTAATTTTGGTGCAAAAATTTTTTTTTATCACCTCAACACTCACATTAGTATACTCCTCTTCAGTATATCATTGAACCGGATATTCCTTGAATCATAAGTAAACAGGGAAAAACAAATCATTTTTTAAAAGAAAATACTTGTTCATTTATAAAACAATATAATATAAACAGATTGAACCGTGTTCCCTTATAGTAAT